TGAATATCCTCCATATCTTCTGAATTTTGTAATACTGTTCTAAATAGGGTAAATTCATTCTAAAACGACTGTAAATAACAGGTATATATATATGCATAAAGATTTAAGCATGAAACTCGCCAAAAATGCCCAAGCTACATATCGCGACATCTATAAGACCCCAATAAATTAAATATACCTATATCTAAGTATATAATGTTCAACAAAACTGTCGTGTCCTACAAATTGCTCATGTTTTTTCGAAGTTTCACCCATGGCTATTGACTTCATTTGTAGATAATAGAAATCGGCAAGTCTTCGCTTCCATCTGTCAGTAATTTCACTTCTCACACAGAGTGTCTGCAACTCCATATATTAAGAAAGCTACAGCACAGCATAGTAAGACTGTTTCCTGGAAAATATCAGGGTGACAACAGAAACAGTTATTTCCTGGACAATATCAGAGTGACAACAGAAACGGTTTGGGGCAAACAGTTTGATGGTTTATTTTACTACGATAGAGTTTTTCTTAACGTTGAATATATGACAAACTCGACAAATGATATATGCTTTTTCCTTGCTCATTAATAAATGTTAGAACAGCTACGACTCATATGAAAGCAAAGTGCCAGGGAAAGAAACGTTAACCTTAACGGCTTTAAAAAAAATATCGTACTTCCATTTCGCAGAAACTTCATTTATGGCTAATTCGTGAATCTGTAATTAACAACTTCAAAAATTACCCAAAACATAAACGTTTTTTCTGCCAAAGAAAAGCGTCCAAAAAATTATAATACGAGCGGATCTATTCGTAAGAACAACTACAATTGAAGGAACAGAATTTTTAAACATTCAAATGATAAAAATCCAAGAAGTCGCTCAAAAACCATAACTCAATCTAATTTGAAGGTACAGAATGCAAATATTACTTTCATAAAATCAGCATGTAATTCACGAGAACTTGGCCAGTCTGTAAGCATTCTAGTCCACAATGTATGAAAAGCATATAAGACTTGCTCTTCCTCGGCCAGAAACGGTTCAATAACATTTTCAAAAGTTAGATCTTCTGGTTTTACTGAAGCAAAACGCTGTAGCCATAATACAAGTGAAGATATAGAACGTAACGTTTTCATTACTGTGAAAAGACTGAAATTCTTACGGCAGAATCTCTGGATTTGAAACTTTTCTTCAAAACAACCTTAACAGCACAAGGAGGATAGATGAGAAGTACTTCGAAATTATTTATAATTTTCATAACAAATGAAAATGTGTAGCTTACCTTCTTCTAATAATTTCATATGTTCATGCATTGTGGCTCCATACTCTAACAGCATTCGTATTGTTCCTTCATACATTTCTTTGGCTAAAATTTAATGCTAAAAATTAATGCTGTTATAGTGTATACATTTGAAGTAATAACACAAGAACTTACGAGGTGCACAAATAGCTGGCCAGTCTTCTGTATTGCAAATATTGGCCACAAATCTGTTATTCTCCGGCGTAGCATTTGGCACAACAGGAAATCTGTGACAGTTAAGCAATATGTTCATCATTTGAACAAAATAAAAACGCAATAAACCGATACATCTTTGTTAATTGTTAAAAAAGAAAATATCAGGAAAATGCAAATCATATTCAAAGTAATAAAGTTGAATGGACATACAAAGCATAATAACCAGCATGTTGATAAGTGTTTGATAATGAAATAGCTCGTCTGGCGCTAAAGGAAATCGACCTCCAGCTAGTTGATGGTCCCGGAACAGTTGCATCTTTCGACAGCACACGGCCAAACCAAGCTGCCTTCCTGGCAACGACCGATACCATCCCTGCAAATCATTACTTAATAATGGTGTTTTATTCTTATCAAGACCGGTGATACAAACAAGGATAAGCTAAAAATGTTACCCGTGATAACTTTATTTGATAATAATTCTAATTTTAGCAACAACGAAAATATAAATGAAGAATTAACGTTAACAACTGATAGAGTTTAGTTGTAAATAATTACTCCGAACTAAGAAAAAAACAATAAATATGAACATTAACAAACAAAAAATTGTTTGGGGAACTGATTGTGTGATATAGCAGTACATAGCATTGAATGCAGAGAGACGGAAAAGAATGACGAAAGATGTTGCAGAAAGTACAAAGATTGAAAACAAAAAGTTAGGTATATACAAAGATGTCAACAAACTCACACTTTGATCCAAAAGCGTTTCAATTTGACGGGCTCCGGACCGTATTGCAATAGCCGTTTCTTCCGTTTGTTTTTGAAGGACATCTCTGAACCTCTAAATGTTGCTAAATTTTTTTGTTGACTGTATTCCTTTGCTAACATAAATTAGACTGCATACCTGAGAGGAATCATTATTGGAATTATCAGATCCTATAACACTTTGGAAAAAGTTACGAAAAAATTCAGTTAAGGCTCCAAACCTCCTCCAATACTATTTGCTGTGCATTTTATCCATTTAACAAATTTGACCGTATTCCTATCTGGATATTTATCCCTGAGTTATAGTATTCCATAATGCACCGGAAAACTAGAAAAAGACCTTTCCTGTTAAGGGAACAGTATTAGTAGAAATCAAAAAGTCAACAACGAATGCATTAATGCAAATAAAAGATAATATAGTGTGGAATTGGAAAAAGGAAAAAAGAAAAGATGACGAAATTCATGAAGTTTCCCTTACTATGAAAAAGTACATGACAGAAGTTTTCAGGAAAGACAAAGTGTAAAGAACAGTGCATACGGAAAACGTCAATGAAAATAACTCAGGAACACTATTCATGGCTGATATCAGGTATGCCATGTTATCAGAGTTTTCGAAGATTTATTTTGAAGTCGATTAGAAGCATAATATTTAGCTATATGCAAATTTTCAGCATAAAATGCGCTTCTTAATGGAAAAATCTCCACTTTTACTTTTGTGAGTCACTGTACACGCACCTCAACATTCTTGTGGTATTCTTTTATGATATCTCAAACAATAGTTGACAAGCATTTGCTTTGGCGAATTTTCAAGTATATGACATTATAATGACATTGTAATAGTAATTCAAGAAATTCTACGTTATTGTAATATTATCTGTGGCAACTGTGGTAGATTATGATGCTACCTTTAGTAAATGATATCTTTCACTAATTTTTTTTAAACGTAATTGACATATGCTTAGAACATGATTCTGTTACAGATTATTAAGTTTACAGCAATAACAGTTACATCGATATTGTACAATGATGTTGCGTTCAGTGATTAGGCAAAAGGAAGGTCATTGGCACTGTAGGAGGCACCAATGAATGGATTTTATCACTGATACGTACCTATCATTCATTTGTATTGTCTTCATTTGTTTATTACCAGTTGACTCCTCACAATAACTCTCGAACATGAGGTGAATTTCAATGTGCTATAATTTGTTCTTTAATAGAGAAATTACGACGAAGAGAATAATTACTTGTTAAAAAATTTTCTGCAGGCATTAAAAGTCAAAGAACCACAAGAAATCAAAGTTCATCGAAAAAAAAAAGTTTTACTTCTTTGAGAACGATTTATGGTACTTTTTTCCTACCTTAGCATTCATGAGGCTCAGTAAGACGTGACACTTTCACAAGTTCAAAAAATTCGTCACCTCTTCCATTTTTTTCTCTATCGATCTTCCGACTTTTTTCATTGAAATTGTATCATCAGTCCTTTAGGGAATGTGTGCCAAGTGCATGAAAAGATTTACTTAAGGTTTCCACTTCTGTCAAAGCGAAGAAAAGAACCATGCGACATAAATTTGAATGGAATAGACGAGTTTTATTAGGATTCATAAAATGTTTTTGTGTATATGTTTATTTATGTTTAATGACTGTAATTAAGACTATGTTGGAAGTTTGTCGACTTGGTACATGCATGCCTTCAAGATAATTGAAAAAAGGTCAGAAGAGAATAGCTAATATTATTCGCTTGGATTTATTCCCAAACGATGACGATTAATGAGAACATCAGTTTAATCATCAGTTGGATGTTTGTATGTGTATTGGACAGGTGTAAGTGTATATGTATACATTAGCGAAGGAACACATGGCAGTGTCCTAAGATAACCATCCGGATGAGCCATTCTAAGAAATGACAACTGGCGCGTTACCACCTGAACAACCTCTTTCTGTTTTCTATTCAGAACAATTATCAAAGATCTCTTCTTTCAGGTGTTTCTGTGGTTGCAAGCTTCAGATTTCATTCGTATCCTTTTCCAGTACTCTTGCATATCTTACCGCATTTATGTTTCCTTCCATCTTTTGTCATTCTGTTGCGCACAATGCTTCCTTATTCTTCCTTGATTATTGATTATTTTCGAATCGAAGCAGCCAATTTCTCGCTCTTTAAATCATGATTTTCCAAATCTACATATTAATAGTTTTGGAGGAACTTGCGCTTGTACCGTTTGCTAAGAACTATTACTCTGCATTCTGCTACTCGTGTTGCAACCATATTTTCCATTTCTGCTTTAATTCAGTCTCTCTCTTCATTTGAATATGTCTTTTATGGTATATTGAACGTTTACAAAGTAATTTATTATTCCTTATAGTTCCATTTCTCATTGCTGATTAGTAAGTGAACAGTCACAAAGTTCTATTCATGGACGACACTATGGAGAAGAGGAAATTCATTCTAAATAGTTTTCTATGCACTCCGAACTCATCCTGTGTTGAAATAGTTACAGCCTATGTGGATATCACAAACTATTTGTCGTGGATTTTCTGACGGACAATTATACTAACCACCGATGACCATTGTCAATGTAATTAGGATATTCTTAGCTATAGTACTCAGAAACAGAAAATAGGGTATCCATATGGGGCATTTCACCCCATTTGCATACTCAAACATCTTCATTTCGTCTCGAGAAAAACCATATATATTTCGCGCATGAACTATTGATACATGCCGTTCGCGTATTTTCCCATCATGAACCACTGCTGTAACAAACGCTGTATTTCAGGCTTCAAATGTCCGAAAGTCAACTGGTTCACGTTACTGGTGGTGACATAACGGAACACTCCTCGGACCCACTGGTAGTACCAGAACAGTCCATGCATGAGTTGGAAACCACTGCGGAAGATGATAGTCGTAGAACGGCGATAATTCCAATTCCGCTACCTTCGCCGTAACCAACCAACCAATATCGTGTCTCCCATCAGCACTACACACGTCACTGGCGTACTTCAAACACATCCCAGCACCTAACAACAATAACATGCAAGCAGTAAAATACCGCAGCAACAACAAACGAACCCACAACAACAGTTCCAACCCTTCCGACATGATATCAAAGCACTGTGCGCATCGTTGTCAGCTCGCTTCCGTCTTACAAACGCAACAAGTAATGTCTTTTTTCAATCTTCCCTCTCCTACACTTTTCTCCCTTAAACATACATATGCACACACATCTATACAAGCATATAGATATATACATGTGTAGAGACACAGACAGACCCACACGTGCTCGGCAAACACAATCACACCATTGGGAAATACACACATACACATATATATATACATACATACACACACACACACATCACACATGACACACACATATATACATACACATACACTGATACGACAATGAGGGGTATGTAGAGAGGGTAAGGGGGAGCGAGTATTTGACGCGTTCTCTGGGAGGCATCACTACGCTCTACGCAGTGTTTACAATTTCGTTAGTGCTTAAATCCGTGAAGATTGACGTTGTAAGGTGTGGACCGTGTGCATGCATGATAACTGAATAAGAACGCTAATGGTAGGGTATATGAACTGCAATTAAGTGAAAGCGGATTATTTTTATTATTTTGAGGACGAAGCTTTAACTTATTATCGGGAATTTATGCATTTCTGTAACAACTCTCAGATTCTGGATTGACTTTCAGTCGACATATTGTTGTTTCCGGACTTGTTGCATTAGGCTCAGGTTGCGAGAAAGAATGAAGGGTAATTTGTAGCTACTCAACTAAACCGTAAAGCTTTGCATTTTAGAATTCAGTGTGGCTTGGTGCAGTCATATTATTCCGGACTTGTTTAACATCTGTTTGTGGAAAAAAAGCTTCTCTTGATTATGAATCATCTCTGCATTTGTTCTTTTGTCTGCATTTCGTAGGTTCCGGCGTTGAATGATTAAATTTCTCTTTTTATGTCTTGCGAGAAGAACAGTTATAAAAGTTGACCGGCCGTGCGAGATTTGCCCAAATGCATTTCGCGCCCTTCGCGCCCTTTCCGGCTCCAAAAAAGCATAAGAAATTATTTCACGATCTGAAATCTGTTTTTTCTTCTCGAGAAAATGAGAAGTCGATCAAGAGAGAGGGGTTTTGATGGTTGAGTATAGTAGTATAGTTACTCTAGATGTTACTAATTGTAGTATCTGGATTCTATCGAGTAGTGGTGAAAATGAATGCTTACACATTGTAAGTGCTTTTCGAAATTCGATCTCAACCGTATTCTACGTTATCAGCAGGAACTATGAAAAAGGATATTGTGGCATTATTCCCTGAGCTATATTACTCCCTACATTGTTTTCCCTATAGTTATAACTTTAGCGGATCAAAAGTAAGCCTGTCAATTGTTATGGTGGCTCATACGTGGAATAACACAGTGGTGATATATAAATGTGAGTAACAGTCATATTTTAAGAGAAGCAGGGTTCGCTAAATGGGATTAGAGGAGGGTATTTTAAGGAACTTATGTATGTAACTGAGTAGACTGCTCTAATTTAGGTAATTTATCATTTGCTCGCCCTTGCATCTTGTAATTCGTTGCATGCAGCTAATCCAGGCCGTCTATTGAACCTTCGTATTACACCACGGTAACCTAGTTCGACTTGCAATGGTAATTATTATTCATATATGTATTATTGATTAGTGGCTGACTTCAATAGTTTGATAAATAGTTTAGCATCATATTGAATAAAACATTGGTCAGTTGCGCATGGGTAAGGTTGTCTGATACGTACGTTGTTGTATCAGTTACAAATTTTTTGTACACAAATGTACACATTTACAATAATTTAGACAGCCCATTTCGATTTATGTGTAATGATTGATGCTCTCTGGTCAGTGTGCTAGGTAATAAAATCTATTTCAGAGTGAGGAATTGAGGCCTTCGACCTCATCTACGGGCACTGTGGAGCGTGGTGTGGAATACTCGCTGGCTGACGCCACAGACCAAGGTCCACCTGCGAAGAAACCCAGGCAAAATATTTTTAAGTTTGCTTATATATATATATAATTTTGTCAGTTAATGAAATTAGGTTGCCCTATCAGTGTTAGAAATTTGTATTTTATCAGTGAGACCTTAATTTCAATATACAATTGAGAAGAAAAAAGGAAGAGTGGAAGCCGGGCTTTTGCTGTAAATGAGGTTTCAGATATCCAATGGAGGTGAATCAAGCTTTTTTCAGGAGCATGCAGTCAGCAGGAATTCATGCACAGCAGCAATCACCTCCGAAATCTGTTGGTCAACGCATAAAAGTATATTTTCTTCGTTTTTTCCTATATATATATATAGCACCAGTCACCCCCGAAATCTGTCGGTCAACAAAAAAAGTATATTTCTTAATATATACAGTTTTTTTCGCATGTTTATATATACAGTCTTTTTTCTTATATATATATATATATATATACAAAAAATAAAAATAAAGATTTGTTCTCAACACTTTACTAATAAATTGATTAGATTAGATTGGAAACTTTTGCGTAGCATTATGATGAACACATGATCTTTAACTTTGAGTGGGCGCAGAGATTTACTCACTTTTGCCTATCATTTATCTTTCGCTTTTCATCTTGTAGCGTCTGTAGTTTTCAGGAAACTTTGCAAACATCAAAAAGTCAATTAAGTCGATCTCCAAATGTCGCTGATACGAGTCTTGTTTCGGCCCCGATGTCACCTCCTCCGCTTGGTGCCGCAGAAGTTAATACAATTCGTATCATCGGCCAGTATCTCAAAAATCTTGGATTACAGTATGTTGTTAAGCACATCAATTATGTAATCAGATTTTCAGTAGATAGTTTTAAATTGTTATCATTATTTAAAGATGGGCTTCGGTTGCTACCTGACTCTTTTTATTGAAAATGACATAAATATACATAATAACATTTTAATTCTACCACCATTATACTGTAAATTTTCTTGAACTATATTTTAATAGTTCGCGAAAATTTTAATGATTACTAGATTTTAATGGCAGGTCGTATTTTCAGGGAAACCGTAGCGACGCTATTTGCGGAAAGTGGATGTCGTCTTGAAGATACCTTAGCGGTACGTTTACGCGAATATATCGTAGCAGGTGAATGGGATCATGCACTTGGTATCGTGGATAAAATGTCGCCATTTGTTACCAGTCTGAATTTATTGCGCATCCGTGAGAAATTGTACGAAGAAAAATTCGTTGATTTGTTAGGCAAAGAAAGGGTAATATTTTATATGCATTCGATGGGTAAGAACTTCGTATTTGATTACTTTTCAACAAAGGCATTGAAGAATTAATTGTACATCGAGAATGGATGTCTTTGATATTTAAACTTTTTAGTTTTCAGGTTCTGGAAGCACTCAGTTTGTTGACAGTAGATTTTCCATCAGATCCTGCATTTTTTGATCGTCGGAATTTTCTTGCAACATTGCTATATGTTGACCCAAAGGTATTTCAGATTTTTTGAATTATTAATATTTTTATACTTTGCTTTTTATTACTATGAACTATATCTCTTTGAGACGATGTTTCTACTACTTTTCTTGAGTGCTCATTGAATACATTTTCTGTTCCATTAGTGTCCAGAAATTCCATTCTTCCAAATTACTCGAGTCTACTTTTTCAAGGATTGATGGAAATACAGAATTGAAAACATGCCTTCCTCATAATCATCTATTGTAGTTAGTTTTGTCTGTGTTGTCTAATATTGATTTAGAGCGTAGATGTATGTGCGAAAACAGGAGCACATCGTACTGAACGAGAGAGAAATGTACTGGTAGCTGAAATTCAACAGTTACTACCCACAACAGTTATGCTACCTTGTAATAGGTTGGAGAAACTGCTCATGCAATGTAATTCTTTTTTTCTAGTTATATTTCTTCGTTTTTTCCTTTGTTTCAACTGCTGCATTGACCGCACTGACCACATCTGGAGTTATCGAATAGGAAATTCATAACTCCACAGATTTTTTTACTATAATTGTGTCATCAAATTTATGTCAAATGTTGCAGCATGGAAGATGCAATGTCGCGAATGTTATCTCCATGTTAGAGAGGATTTCGATGTTTCCCCAGATTATATTTTAGAAGACCATCAGTGTGACTGGGATCATTTCCCTATGTTTACTTCGCAGGTACAGCATTTCCTATGAAACGATCTGTTTTTCTTGAAAAGTTAACGATATGATTCTGTTACGCACATATTTGAATCGTCACCAGGTAATTATAATAAAGCAAGTATCTCACATGATTTTTTTATTTTTATTTTTTTTGGTCAGAACGTTATACGTTTTTAGGTGTTAACAAAACATACAGATGAGGTTTGGTGTGCGGCGTTTTCACGTTGTGGAAAATATTTAGCAACGGGTAGCAGATCTGGAGCAGCACATATTTGGAAAATAATCAATGAATCTACAGTTGAGCCGTACAAAGAACTTACTGGTATGTCGTCGTCGCTTGTGAAATCTTTTTATTTCCTGCTAATGAAGAGAGAAATATAAATCTCCGTTTATTTTCACAAAACTATCTGTGTTATGTGAATTATATATTGTTTAACAATACCCTTTAAACATTAGGATTATGAATTCTCGTTTCTGTCTAAGACAGAAAAATTTACCAGATTTTTTATTATATTCAGAAAAAAAGTCAATTTTCTTTCTCCTTACATTCATTTCTTCTCCCTAGCTGTTTTTACAACTTCAGGAAGAAGCAGTTCATCGTTGTTAACTTGGAGTGATGATGGTGCGCTTTTAGCCGTAAGCGCTGCGGAAGGTCACTTAGCGGATGTTCACGTTTACGATGTACATAACGGCGTCATATTTTGTGTTGTCGAAAACAGAGCGAACGACAGCACTGTTATGTCGTTTGTTCCGAACTCATCAGTCACTTATAGACTTGTTTGTGCTGATCAAATGGGGCATTTTTGTCAATATGTATGCTTTTATAGTTTTTCCTAAGTGATGTTTATTATTCAGGAGTCATTTTTTTGATCATTTTCCGGATATTTTGTTTTTCTTAACTTTTAGTTTTAAATCAAAAGTCAGTATTTTAATTAAAGAAATGTTGCTACTTTTTTCTTTTTACCTTTATTATGCATATCGGAAATGTTATTCAAAACCAGCAGTTATATAATATGATCCAAAAGCTGTGAATATTTCATTTCCAGACTATATCGAAGAACAGTGTAAAATCTGAGGGAAAATTCGAGGGTTATAGGATCCGCGCTGTTCACTGTCTCAGGAATGGATCAGTTTTAGCAGCAGATACTCATAACAGGTATCTTCAGCAGTTAAATTTCTGTAAAACTTTCACTTTATTATTTCACTTTAAGCATCCTCTGATTTTCAGAGTTCGCAGCTATCGATTTAGCGACGATTCTGAAATAACGCTTATTGAAGAACTAAGTCAGATTTCAACATTTGTGGTGGATAAGTCTGAGCGACGTGTTTTGATTGATACTAAATTGCACGGTTTGAGATTATGGGATTTAAGAACACGAACTTTGATCAGATCTTTCGTTGGTGCCCCACATCATGATTTTATTATTCATTCGGCTTTTGGTGGCCCTGAACAGTCGTATATCGCCACTGGTTCCACAGGTATTTTTTTCATCGATAATTCCGTTCTGTAAAAGCGTAATATTGTTCGAACTAATAGGGTTGGCTATGGATAATTCATAATGGGTGTTTCTTGCACTGTTCTCAGTGACCGACTTCCCTTGGCAGTTGTAGGATTTGTTTGAGCAGTGTGACAGTAAAGTTAGAAAGTTCTGTCTCTTACTGTCGTCAGCAGCTAGCTGAGTTCACTTCAACGAAGATTTAATAATTAGCATTACCCATCAGCGAAGAGAAAGAGCGTTATCTAGGTATTTTACTTTTCCAGGAACCATAGTTTTATAATTTTAATTTTTTACTAACAGAAACGTATTGTATTTATAGATGAATGTATATATGTATGGAAGCAAAGTTCCGAGGAATTGATAGCAAAACTGACTGGGCATACTGCACGTGTAAATGCTGTGGCATGGAATCCTAGGTTACCACAATTGGTTTCTTGCTCTGATGATTGTACAGTTCGTATTTGGAGTCCACTTGTTGGCATTGATCCATCCACTATTCAGCAGAATTGATATTACTGTACTTCATTATAATCCAATGATTTTTGTTCATTATACTTCAGTATATTCTTAGTTCTATTTTTATTGCACTTCATTATACTATTAGTTCCATTTTTATACTTCATGTGTATTTTAAATTTCATTAAGCGTTATCAATTGTATGCGAAGTTATAAACATGAAGATTGTAACAGCTTGTGTAAAGCAGTCATTGTTGAGCGTTCTTGCTCTTTTTTTTTGTTTTTGGTAATTGTGTTATATCTTTTTCGCCACTGCAGATTACCTCAGCTTGGCCAGTTGTTGACATCAGCGGCTTGGTTACTTGTTTACATCAGTAGCGTGGTCACTACAGCCCTATTTGCCTCCAAAACTTCACAGACAAACCAGTCATTGTGTCACTATTATTACTGAATGCCGTTTGGACTACCCAAGTTTGTATGTCATTTGTTCAGTCATCCCTCGGCATGTTTATTCTGTATATGCTAGTAGAAGGTCGATGATTGTGTTTATACTACACTTTTAAATATGAGGTGTTTTTATGTGCAGCACTGTTTTTCTATGTCATTGCCATCTCCAAGTAATTTTAAAATTATGACGATAACCTTTTAGACTCCGGAACTTGTCAAGAAGGTTACTTCTTCCTGATTCAAGTTGGTCGCAACTTTCAAATTTTTGTCAGTGAGTCACAGCTGTATTGTTGCTGAAAATTGCATTACTGAAAATTTGGTCGACATTTCATAACGCTTGTGGATGTCTTGTATTAAACGAGACACATAGAAACGAATTGTTACTCTTTGATCGAGTGATTGATTGTTATCAATTTCTAAGATTGTCTCATTGTATAGTGTTGATCATATATATATACACAATTGTGTCTGTAAACCATCAGTATATGTTTCTTTTCTGGAATTTTCATTGTATTGGTTGTATTTTAATATACCCTGTCAATCATCAGTGGGTTTTTATGTTTTGTAGTAATATCGAAGAAAAGGCAATGTGTTTATCCGTTAATCATAAAAAGTGGAAATACAACTGGTAAACGTTATTAGAGCAATGGCTGTTGTGGTATTTCAACATAAGTTGGTGTACAATATACTGTGTATCCATCTTCGATATGGTAGTATTTGATTGTTGTTGCATCGTCCAAACTTTGGACTGTAAATGTATTTTATGAAGCATTCACTCACTTCTGTAATTGAATTAGGCAAAGTTGTCCAAAAATTCGTAGGTTGTATGTGGTACCTCCGAATGTAATATCTTGTACTCCAACTGGGATGTCCGTCTTTTCCATTATTTTCTCTTTCAGTGTTTTAATTTTATCCATTGCCGAAATGGTAATTTCAATTGTTTGCCCAACAAAGTCCCGTGTTTTGTTGTAAACAATCACTTTAAGATACCTGAAGTTTCATTATTGGTTTCAAAAGATATTCTGTAGAGCAGAGAGGTAATTACCTCTTTGTTTTTTATAATAATACTAGGATTAAGCTAAAGTCAGTCGTAAAGCGAAAGCTCATAAATATAACATTAGTTCCATCCACTAATTTACTAATCTGAGAAATGATCTAAGGCTATATCAGTGATTTTGACCTCTCTGAATATGAAAATGATGCAATTGGAAGTGCAAAAAGTTATTATACGAATGAGACAAGCAAACCATTCTTTGATCTTTTCATGAAATAATTCAATGAGGAAGCTAAACTTTAATTTGCGAAGTTTACCAGGACATTGGAATTACCCGAATATTCTGTATAATTGGCTTTCTTGTTAATGTGGTACAACTATACAGTTGGTGAATACCAAATTTTTCTAAAAAAGTTTGGAATGCTACAATTTAGTTAAATTACCGAGTTATGAAAGCTATTAATGGAGTTGACGTTGTTAATAACTTACATGGTATTCTGTGAATAATAACAGCAAGGGAAGAACTGGTGCAAAAGTGAGAAGAATGATCACAAATTGCCTAAAATGATTTTTTATATCAGTGCGATAGTTCCTCATCGTTTTTGCCGATAATGAAAGCTTATTATTCGAATGAATCAAACAGAGAAGTGAAACTGGATAATCTGAAAATTTCCCTCCACATCCTTGTCAATATCACCTTTCCTCCTATTCCTCTTTTAATGCTTCTTTTTCTTTTGGAAATGAGCAGATAAATTTACATCCCAAGATTACCAAACTTTCAGTCTATGTGGGGAGTATAGCTTTACATGTTCGATTACTCATTTGAATTTAAGTAAGCTTCGATATTCGTTTGAAAACTGTTCTCCAGAACCACCAATTTCAGTTCGGTTCATAAATTTCCACCTGGGGATTCATAAGAAATCCAGTTAAAATCATTTCATGATTTTTTTTAACCTAACAACTAGTAATTTCGTCGAAATCCGCATTAAGCTTATGAAATTCCGGTTTTCACTTTTTCAAGCATTAATGAAGAAACACAGTGTGCACTATTATTTTCTTCCATTGCAAATTTCTCAAGCAAACGAAATTTCCATTTTTTCAAATAGTTTAGAGAACTTTTTTCTATTGAAGAATTTCGATAAGGAAATAAATATTAAAATTGACATGGTATGAATTAATTTTATCAGAAATCTAGCAGTTATAATTACAAGAAATCTTTATCACAAAATTCGATAGTTGTATGTTAGCAGTAGAAATCAGTAATGATATCCTTCGAACATTCGTATTTCAGGATGTGCTAAATTAGGAGTGCCAATATTCTGTTCATATACGTTGTTTGTGGATTTTGTTGTTTTTGCTTGCTTTATTATGATCTGAAATGTCATTTTATTAAAAGAAAACATTTCTTTCAGTTTAGACAAATTTATATATCAATAAATAGAGTTTGTCAGAATTTCTTGATGCATCTCAATTTCAATATTTTTATTAATTTCAAAAATTTCAGTAAATTTATCATCTCTGGGGATGATGGAGCTATTATTAACTAAAAATAAATGAAGAAAATGGGAATATCGGCAAATTGCTATGATTCTAAGAAATGAATCAAGAGTGGATGCACCGTTTGAAGTAAATCATTTATAACAAAAACTAAAAATCAAAATATGCATACATCATCGATTTTGCTTGTTGCTGGTGGATTGCGTAAAAAGAACATCAGAGGAGCATACAAAAAGTTTATCACCGCAATTATACGAAGCATTCTGAAAATTATTTTAAGTTCTGTAATAAATATTTCTTTGATTAATCAAATTTGAAATAACACTCCAGCGGAATGAATAAAATTTGGTGAAATGTTTAATCGTAAATATATTATGTACTATAAGAACAAAATGCTTCACAAATTTATTTGTATTTAATAAACATTTTTCTTTAAATATTTTTGTTAATATTCTTAAAATTAGTATTCGTCTTCTCATTATTCTAAGTTGTTGTTTGAATTTGCCTGCAGCTAATAGCGACAATTGTAAGAGCTGTTTAAAAAAACTCACGAAGCAAAACCGACAGAACGGACCAGAGGACCAGAAAAAAAAGGGCCCAAAGCAAAAGCAAAGCAAAATGCTGCATCTGCAATTGCATATATTGATCCGTAAACACCAACGTGACGTATATCCACCAGATGACCCATCAGTGGAAACATTGACGCATCGATCATACCTTGAATGCATACCCTACATTTTTGTGATTTTTGAATACCTTATATTATTTAACACAAGATGTATGCTTTACCAGATGTACCTAATTTATCTTACCAATCGAGAAGCCCATGAAGAAATTTGGTACCATTAATCCACCAACCCCTTGAGCTGTTGGAATCTAAAATTATTGCAACCATCAATTGAAAATCATAATTTACATATGAAAATAGTGTGTCTGGCAATAATTGTAAAGTTACAGCACGAGAATACAGCTCGTGTAACGAGAGAATATCATGCGTGATAGTTCTGCATAATATCTCCACATTTTTTCTCTACTCTTCCCATTTTTTTTTTTTTGACTCGATATTATTGCAGAAACATTCTTCAACAATTACTTTTATTTAAAGAAATAAAACTGAAAAAGTTCTTATGAATAATATGATCAAAGAACTTACAGCGATTAGGCAAATACCGATTATCATGAGACCCAGAAAACTGCTTAGCCAACTGGAAATTAAAAATTTTTGGTACGTCTATTTTTTTTTTTGGAATTTTAAAATTTTAAACAACGCATATTTAAGTAAAAAGAGAACTCAAATATTATCAATTATTTCAAAATAAAAACAAACCGTCCAATTTTATGTGCCAATGGTCCAAATATATTCGTACCAATAAGATATGACATACTAGCGGGAAGAAAAGCGATACCACGTTCAAATGAACTGGCCTGCCAGGATTCCATCATCCATAATGGTAGCGATGGTTCCAACATTGCTATCCCAAGATTTCCAATTGTTATTGATCCTGAAAATTACTAAGAAGTTGCAAAATGTCAGAGAGAAAAAAAAAAGAAAAAAATTGGCATATTAAAATATATTGCATTTGAAAATGAGATTATTTGAAACAAATTAGCAATCATTTATTCTCTTTCTAAATTGCTCAGAAAAAATTCAACAATATTTGCTCAGAATAGGACCAAATAAAAAAAAAAAGAGAAAAAAAAAATAGTAACCAGCAGCAACAATAATATATGGATCAGTTGCAAGTTCTTTTAAGCCAGTTCCTTCCGGTTCACAACGATCCATATGTGGTTGAAGCACCAAAAACTGCAGAGCTACAACAGTATCGTTTTTAACTCTTAACATTTTAAAATATTTGACCCTTAGAAGTTTAATTAATCAAATAGAGAAGTTTTGAGCTTATTCTGTTATCTTAAAAAATCCATAAATTTTCAAAATTATTTTTTAAAACGTTGTTTATTGTAACTAAATCATCAAATAGCAATGTTTTTTTTTTTTGTTATTATTCGTTTAAAATGTTTATTTTGTTTTTCTAACAAATAAAACTTACAGCCATCAAATAGAGCTAATAGTGCAAGAAGTAAGAATGGCAACTCTTTGCCTGACCACTGGTATAATACTCCCCCATACGGTGGTCCAACAAGTAAGCCAAGTGCTAGACCGCCCAGTGCTATACCCATGACACTACCGCGTTCTTCATCGTCCGGATAAGCTTGTGCAAGCATTCCCATACCTTTTAAATCAAATTAGATATTTAGGATGAGAAGTGTCCATAGGACGAAACCAGCAATTCATTAATTCTTGAGTAGACTTTCTTCCGGTCATGTCGAACATAACTTTAGCAAACCTGAAGTGCTTGTACATGCTGATCCAACACCTTGTAGAGCTCGAGCAAGCCAAAGTACAGCAAATGATGTACCAAATGTAAACATTAAGGTTGATAAAAACATAACACAAAAACCAGCAAACATTGGTACCGTGTAACCAATTCTGTAATTTATACAAGCAATGAATAAAAAAAACTGAGGAAAATTTAGAAAGATTCTTTTTCTCTTTTTTTTTTAGAAATTATGTATAAATAAGTTATAGTTGCATTTTCTTTTGCTATCTTTTTAAATAAATATTTTCATGTTACTACTAATAAGAAAGTTAACATAATTAAGTCTTGAATGTTATCAAGAAATATTTCCTAAAAACTAACTTATTTGTAAGGGGACCAATCCATGGATTTGTTAATAGTTGTACAAGTGCTTTTGATCCAAACATTAATCCTACGTAAACATTTTCTTCAGATAAAGTATCATGTCGTCGTATTTCTTCTGCAGCATTTGGCATAACTCTTTGATTCATTTCTGTATTTTCATCTGTAGTGGATGTTTCTGTTGTTGTTTTGATTCGCATACCTGTTCCAGTTGTTTTACCTAGCAGAGGAAATTTATGTGTTATTATAAAATTTAAATTTTTGTCAAATTTCAATCTTAATTAAGCAAAAATTAAAAATTATATCATAAATTTTTTAACTCTTCCCAAATGCTTTTCCAATCACCGAACCTTTTCTAAATGGTTTTTTCCTCGAATTTTTGCTTTTACTAAATGGATTCAATGGACTTTTTCGCCATTCTGTTGCAGCATCTACATCCATTGGAGTTTCCCAAGCATCGTCCCAAATGAATGTTTCTTCATTTCTTGTTTCCTTTTCATTTTTCATAAAAGCAGTACGTCTGCCTCGTGAATGTGTTACTACCGGTAATTTATCATAAAGCAGTAAATCTGTTGAATTTGGATGTGATAGTCGTAAAAGATATTCCGGCATAATTGGTACTGCAAAAAAAAAAGGAAAAAAAATTATGAAATCATATAAATTAACAATAAAAAATTTTCTCTGAATAGAATATCAGTAAAACAGATAAATTATTAATAAAAATGGTTTATCATCCGTATGCTTGTTTTAAACTAATACTTAAATTTTCGATAATTTATTAAATGTTCTATTGTTACTTGGAATGATAGAAACATACCAACGGTAGTCAGAAGCATATTATCCAAAAACAAAGCAATGTATACAATGAATAATAGCATTTTCCGGTTATGCCGGTACTTATTAATTAATTCTGCAAGCGCCGCTGCCATATTAATGTAAATCTTTTCGGCTTCAGATTTTTTATTATCAAAATCCTACTGCAAATATTATTTGTTAAAATGTAAACACAAACATAGTGTTTCACGTATTTTACGATAGCTCACAGATATATTACTCCAAAATAAATGAACCATTTTTCATAGGTGATCAAGTCATCCTAATCGAAAAATATGGTTAAGCCAAATTAAAATTTGCATTTACAATGAATGAATGAACTGTAGAGATATGGATAGCAAATTAAGAAATGATATGATAATTCTAATTCAGTGAGACAATTTGTATAAAATATAATTCAGTTAGGATTAAAAAAAAGTTGAATGTTTTCAATGAAATGAACTTTTTATCAGGTGTGGCCAAACTAATAATGTATGAGTTCGAAGAGGAAAAAACTCTTCCTTTTTTTTTATATTCTTTAGTCCGCAAAAGTAATTTAAAACTTTTCGAAATATAGTCACAAATGATATCAGTTCAGCTTCCTCAGTCTTCATGGAACCATTGTGTTTAAGATTTGGTTAGAAAGAAAATTGAAATAGGAAAAGTGGTTTGCAGCAACAATAATTATACCAATAAATTATCCAGAGCAATGTAATCTATCATTTATTATTTTGCTAGCTTAAAATTACTCTTGCAGTTTTACTTTAGCTGAAAAACAACATTCACATAGTTGGATATTATGTTCATATCATTTAAAAATTTTGATTGTCATTATGATACACATAAAAAAATAACACTTTTATTTACATTTAATGCAAAAAGACAGATACAAAAAATTCGATGCATTTACTGATTATCAGGAAATGATGCTAGATGGAACCAGCATAAAATATAGTGATAATCTGATCATATTGTCAGCAAAAATCGGACAACTAGTTCATTTGATTGATATATAAAGAAAATTTAATTAAACTTGCTGGATTTTCAAAAATGAAAATATGGCTTGGAAGGAAAAAAGCAAAGTGACATTTATTAAACCATCTACAAGCTATTTTCATAGTTTATATTATCGATTTCACATGAAAATTAAGGCAGCTACAAAATAAAAACACATATGTAATGAATTGGAGTAGAAATTTAACTGGCTACGAAAGTCAAGATTATTAAGAAAGTTTTGAAGTCCGACAGTTCAGTTAACAATTCTGCCATGCAAAAGAAATGAAATTTAAAGAGGATGAAATTTTTCATCTAGCAAAAATTTGAGTATGTTATAAAATTAGGTATACAATTTTCTTTGATTTTCTTTGACAATAGTAGTCTATCGCGTTTTCAGATTTAGGAAACATTCAAAATTAAAAATGAAACATCGTTTATGCATTGAAGTTGCAAAAGATATGCATAATAGAGAGAAAAGATAGAAAAATAAGAAAGGAAAGATGAGAAGAAAAGAAGAAACTCGAAGTATTTATAAGAAATTTTATTATAAAACAATGACCAGCTTATATCATAACATTTTCTTAGAGCTAGAAATATTTATTCATATGATAAAAAAATTGAAAAAAACCATTATTTTTGTCTGAAACACAATTTCCTAAAGAAGCGATTAATGAAGTAAATTATCTGTGCTATCCTCAGAAACTATCATTCTGAGAATTTATCTGTGTTAGAAAAAATACGTGTGTTTAGAGATTATCAGATTTTCAATATATATAGTTTCTTTTATGTAACCGAATCTTGAAGCAATAAATTCAAATTTTGTGTGCAATGAAGTGAGACAAAGAGAGGGAAAGAGAGAGAGAAAAGAGACGACTCAGCTTATTTATTAACATTTTCAGATGAAGGAAGAATATGTTCAAAATTAAAAATAAAATATTGTTATACTTTGCAGTTGTAAAAAATACACTTGGTAACAAGTATGCAAGGTAAATAATCTTGTTAGTGATTCTTTCAAAATAATTAAAATTTCTCAAATCTTCATTTGTATTTCTTTATTGTACCTTGCATTGATTAAATAAATTGCATTCAAAAAATTAAACTGACCCGTTACAGTTAAAGAAACCAAACCTGTCAGATTTCAATAATTCTAGATTGTATGAATATATCTGACCGGAGACACACCACACAACTTGAATGCATAAAAAAATGATGACAAATCGTTGAAATGAATGAAAAAAGTTTTAGAAAGGTATCTATGGAATTAAATAGGTTAAACACTCTAGCTTCTGTTGAAAAACAAAATGCTCTTAAATTTCAAAGGTCTATTTATTCTTGATATCCATTGAGAATAGACAACCTTTTGAATTTAGTGTTTTTTTTCTTAACAATTACAAACTTAAATTTGAAGAAGTAGCATCTTTCAAAATTTGAATTCGTCAGAGGTGTCAAATTCTTCAATCATTATTCAGCTGAAACATTACATAAGATCTCAGTTACTGTTTTTTTTAAAATAAATTTTATGAATGATTTAATAATTTGCATAGACAAAGCAGCTAAGATTAATCGAAAACAAGAGATATGGAATACTGAGTTTGATCAGGTCTGGCAGTTGTCAAACAAAATGGATGAGACAAAAACGTCAGATCCAGAAGATTGTGCGAAGAATAAAAATAACGTCCCATAAGATGATCAAATCCTCCTTCTTCATTTGAAGATAAATGCTTCATCATCAGTGGTTATCTATGAAGCGATTAGTGAGTGTGAAGAAGAAAAATGAATTATTAAAGAGGTTTCCAGAAAATTTTGACTGCAAATGACACTTCACAGAAAACAACCACGGAAAAACCTATTATTATGAAGAAGACATTAAAATGCTCTATTAGACACTACGATATGTTTGAATAAACAAAAATAAAAGTAGCAGTTGTAAAAGTTTTGGATTTGAAAAAAAGGAAAAATCACTGCTGAATAAAATTCACAAAGCTCATTTTATCATGGCTTTCTCAAAAATGCATAATCAATAAATAATATGTACCTTATCTGCAAAAGTAAAATTAGTATTGTTATTTGTGACTTCTTTAAATCTCGTCATATCACCTCTTTTGAAATTATTGTATTTTGGTGAAATGAAAGTATATCTAAGAATTAGATCACACAGAATATACAATAATATGATAACTTTTTACCTATTTTTTTTAAACTTAAACAAAACAGTTCTAGCAGAATTTCATAATTTGTTCTGCCTACTTCAATAGTTAAAACTATTACTCAACATTTTTCTTCGTTGAGTCCTTAAATGCAAATTTATAAAACTGAAAACTTGATCGCATATTCAGCCTTAAAAATGACAACTGCATGGATTGGCAGAAGATGGATGCTGAATTCAAAAATTTGACAATTTAGAATCATAAGAATGGGCGAATACAATCAAAGTGTCTCTTTTCGCCAGATTTATCAAGTATAATAAGCGAAGTATATATAATACGGAAGTCTATCAACAATATAAACAGAGTGATGTGTCGGTTAGTAGAAAATTAGTCTGAAATAGAGGAAAGGATTCAGTCACTTGTAACTATAAATCTTTTTTACACTCCCAAACTCTTTTTTAAGCTATCCATCAAAGCTATGTATGCAAGGTAAATAATAATGTTTAATATATAAAATGATAAATTAGCAGCAAAGACATTTGAAATGATTAGTGATAATAGCATACAAAGTAAATTATGATCATTTTCAAACCAAAGCAAATTACTGTGTTGTTTTTAAAGAAATAGTGATAACAATAATAATAACAATAATAGTAATAGTAATAATAATATTGATATTATTATTAATTATTGCTAAATTTGCAGTAAATTGGCTGCGTGACCATTTCCAGCCTGAATCAATATTTTATTCAAAGCTAATTTTACGACATATTTAGTGAGATTATAAAGATTATAAAGAAGATGGAAATTCTTACGAAATGTGATGTTCTTACAAACAATCAGCAAAATTTTTCGATAAGAATAATAGATAAATTATATTCCTTCATTGTATCATTTTTAATTTTTTCATTAGCAATAAGAGTGTAGCAACTACAAAAAGTTATTATAAACGATATGAAACATGCAGTAATGGACGGAAAAAGCACTAATAATATTTTCAAATAGTATTAACTATTTGCATAGTTATTTCAAAGATTGGCTATGAGAAAAATCTGCCTTTATTAAATTAGAATGAAAAGAAAAGGCAATGTATTTATCATTTAGCTCGGCACTCATGGAAAATCCGACTTTGCACTCAATATTTCACTTGCCAGCACACAAGTCATGCTAATAATTAGATTATTGGTTTAATTTTCTGCTCTGTATTTCCCCTTAAATCTTGCTTCTCATAGGTTTGTGCAAATATCATACTAATAATTGGACTATTAATTTAATTTTTCACTCCATTTCTAAAATCTTGCTTCTCATAAGTTTTAACTTCTCATAAAATTTTAATTGTTATGCTAATGGTCGACTCTCAACCTTATTTTTTTCTCTAAAATTTTGCTTTTCACAAATTTCACAATTATCTTTTAACTTTCGTTTTATTTTACATATTTAAAGCAATTTAAGTCTGCAAAATGTGAACTTTATCAAGCATAATTCTCTAACATTGCTCAGGTGATTAGAAGCCATCTTAATGAATCAGGGAAAACGATAAGAATCATAATATTGTTTTGTATATTTACATGGAAGAGCAATACGTTCAGTGCGGAAGTATCGTGAAAAAAGAACAAAGATAATAACTGCATCTCGCTAGTGCAATTATCAATTATGAATTATGAAATGTTTGAAGGTGATAAGATAGCTATGTCCTTATCATTTCAAGCTGTTAATTCCCCTTTCATGCAACACAAGATTTTTCGATACAAATGTTAAACAGACCGAGTCGCTCAGAGTAGCACACAGTATGTCTATGATCACTTTATGCACTGTCTGGTTTGAGTGTTGGGTTTTAATTGGGTGACAGGTAGTTCATTTTCGTATCCGGTTTTCTTACATTTGGAGGAGCAGTTTCTGAATCTCTAGTTGTTTTCCGATCACAGGTAATTTCTATACTTTTTATAAATAGACTATTGTCGTGTGTAGTTAGT